TAATGAATACCAAATCGTCTGCAAAGGCCTGGATTTTATATTCCTCTTTTTAAATTTTAGTTCCTCTTATCTCAGAATTTTGTCTAATTCTCATTGAAAGACTTTCAAGCGTCAGGATGAAGAGCAGAGGTGATAGTGGGCATCCCTGCCTTACTCCTTTCATTATTTTAAAGGTCTCTGTACTTTCCCCATTTAATAATATATTTGCCTTTTGGGTGGAGTATTTTTTTTAAATAATTGTGGGTAGACATTCCATTTACAACTTTAATGTTAGTTTTTTTTAAAAAAAACCTTAATTATTAATTATGTATAAATAAATAGTTATTAGCTCAACAATGACAAAGCAGGTAAACAGATATTGAAATAAAACATATATATGAAAAAAGTAAACCAGCTTATCAATCAATATTCTAATTACAAATGTGACATCTAATTAGCCTAAGTACAATATCTGCATGTTGTACTGTTGAGATGGTGGAACTCTATAAAATATAATCTGTAATGTAATCTCTATCACACATTACATATTAAAATATACTGAACCAGCACTTGATTTCTTTATTAATCAATTACCCATTTTATAAATACATACATTTCAGATGGGAATAACATTTGAAGAAGTAGTGTTTTCAATGCAGTTCATTCATCAGTCCAGTTGTTTCTCATGTTGTCTAGAACTATAATGCTTTTGAATTAATAAAATTTGATCTTTCGGAATAACTCATTTCTGCCAGGCATTATTATTAGTTTACCATAAATGTCAGCTCTTGAAAATATCTTGGAATTTTACTTTGAATGGATACACCAGCAAATCATAAATAATTTCTCATTCTCTTAGTTACATCTGTTTTGAACTATTCGTAGGTTCACATATGTAAGATGTCTAATAATTTTATGTAACGAAACAGACACTTTCCCTTGATTTTATGGCTTTTTCATGGTGTAAGATGCAGAAGAAAAAGTCTTTGGCAAAAATGCTTTATCCAGTAGAGAAGCCAATCACAGATCATCCATCTGTATCTAACCCAATGTCTGCTTGGATTTCTGTAAGAAACCATTTGCAAGAAAATTAAGAGAAGATTCACCTATCCACCAAGGATTTCAATAAGTCTCAGACAATCACAAAATGTCCTTTCTCAGGTAAAGAGTTCACCTGGTTGATGGCTGTACAGCTGCAGATTTTCTTGATTGAGAGCAATCTCTTGTACTATTTAACTTAGATATTTTTGTGTTTAATCTATTTATATAGATTAAGTATAGATAAACCAACCTTTTTAGCATGCAACTTTTTTTCTGGATTTAGCCAAATAGATTGTGATAAAGAAAATTACTGGGTAGATAGCTCATATGACCTACAATTGCAACTCTGAACTGCCCTCTTAAAAGGTTAATTCTTATAGATGTTTGCTGAAGGATTATTACCCAACATCATGGTTTTTCATTTTCTAAAGTCACATAAGGTTTCATATTTTCCTCCATGAACCTTAACATTTGTGCTATTTTTGCTTCTTGTTTTTGTGGAAATGTTAAACTAGTACTTAGATTTGTCACAGACAAGAGGTAAATTTTGAAAAGGACAAGATAGAAGCATTTCCAGTTGATCATCTTATTATTCTTTCTATTTGGAATAAATGTATACTTGACTAAATTATCAGATTTACAGTTGAGGTACTGATTGATTCAATTTCATCCTGGGATACCTAAGCAGCCTTTATAATGTGAAAACAATCTTCTGCTGGTAAAGTTACTCTCTGATGCCTTCTGGATAAGACTTCTACTCTTTTTTAACAAGACTAATAGCATATGTGCTCTTAGACTGAGCGTCTGTATCTGGTGAACATGTAATTGTAGATCACTGTAACAAGTGGATCTAATTTCAAAAACTTCCCCAAAACATCGTTCTTTCAAAATACTGTTACTAAAAATTTCTAATTTCTACATTTTTATTTTATAATAATATAACGATAACATTTAACCATATCTTAAATAATACAGCTGGACAGATTATTCAAAGGGTACTTTCCTTTGATAAATGCCTGAGTGAAGCGCTTCTTTGGTGCAGCTTTGGAACTGCTTTGTAAAGCCACAAGAAGTGCAAAGAACTATTGCATTTTTCAATCTCCTCTGGGAGATTCAATAACTGAAAGAGGTATTTAATATGCAAAAACTGCACTTGATGCTCTTACCAAGAGCCAAGGTGGCGCAGTGGTTAAATGCAGCACTGCAGGCTACTGCTAGATCAGCAGGTCAGCGGTTCAAATCTCACCGGCTCAGGGTTGACTCAGCCTTCCATCCTTCCGAGGTGGGTAAAATGAGGACCCAGATTGTTGGGGGCAATATGCTGACTCTCTGTAAACTGCTTAGAGAGGCCTGAAAGGCCTATGAAGCGGTATATAAGTCTACTGCTATTACCCAATCACAAAGATGCACAGAAATGCAAGCACCAGTGAAGGCAGCAGAACACCACAAAGCATCTCATTGAAGTACATTAGATTGCCTTCTGGTTTAAATAAGAAACACCACTTCACTTTTGCAGCATAAAACGCACAAGAAAAACCCAAAACATTTCTCACTGTTAAATAAATCCCTGGAATTAAAATGGCTTTCTGGGATACAGGATTGCAATTCCTTTTTTATTTTGTATATCATTATAATAAATGCAAAATCCTAAACAAAATAATGGGAAGAGATGCAAGCTGACCAAACCATTTGAATGTTATTAATACTATTTATATACATATTTTATATTTATGTAACATTTTTGAGGAAGACACTGGAATTCATCTAAAGGGCTTCTTCAAGAAATTTTGCAGGAGATTGTGTCCTACTTAACAATACAAGATATATAACAGACAATTTACCCTGGTACATGACATAGAAAATTCCACAAGCATTTCTTCCTACTTTGATCAAAGCAATATACCGAGTATAAAAGATGTAAGTAAATCTTTCATCCCTATCATAAAACTCACACTTAATTGTATACTATACTTTGCATTTATATGATCTGCCAACATCTTCAATGACTTGACATTTTTCTAATATATCCATTAGAACATAGAATTCATTGATTTATAGTAGGAAACATATTGCATATTTATAAAGTGAAGAGAAATTCTTTACAGAACTTGCTAGAGGATAAATTTAGGGATTATACAACTAATTAATGTCAGCAGAAAAAAATGAACCAAAATGAAATATCTTTGCTTAATTGCAGCAGTGGGCTGCAATTGGGATTACCTTTGACAGTTTACTTCCAAGGTTATTTGATTAATCTGTAGGTTCTACATTTGTGCCTGGGTTTAAATAATTTACTCCCCCTGAGCTAAAGAAGAATGTTGCTGCTCCAGCTACTAAATGTATGAGAATTATAAAAAAAGAGCAATTACAAAATTTGAAGGAAAATTCTTGTAGAATTGTACTTTGTATATTAGAAGCATATATTTAATTAAGTATTCAAATATACCTTTTGTTCCAATATTTTTATTGGGGAATTAATTCAGAAAAGTCAGAATTTATTTATGATGTACACATGAAGAGTTTAAATGGATCAGAAAAGGACCCATTAAACACCCTAAGGAGGGGGGGGAGCACATGAAGCATCCAGGAAGGGAAGAGCATAGACCAATTTTCTCTATCCTAGCACCTTCCAAATCTTTCTTAACTGCATGTCAGAGTTTTTGTTCAGTATATTTGCATTTCCCTGACTTATAATACCAGGCTTTCCAAATCTGGTTCCCTCCAGATGTGTTAAGACTGCAGCTGGAGTAGGCTTGCATTGAGAGGAATTAGTATGTCTAACACCATAATTAGATACTTGTGTTTGAAATGAATGCCATGTTGTCAGTTCATAAATTAAGATTCCTTAGAAACCATCTTAGACTTTGTATACTGTATATGTCCACAAATATGCATGACACCTTTGTGATAATCTCATTTTTCTCATTTTTATATTTAACAAGTATAAATATTCATATGTGACAGCTCAATTATTCAGTTGTACATTTCATTCTCACTGATTTTTTTTAAATTTCCCATTAAAATATTACTTAAATAAAGTGATAAATAAAATTAAAATATCACCATAGAGCAGTAATGACCTAAGCTGCAAGTATTTTACTTCAAAACATTAAAGGCACTTTCAAGATGGCCAGGCAGACACTTTGACACAGCTAATGCTTTAAGGTATTTCTCTTCAGATAGATATTTTCATGAACAAGCATTTTCTTGTCCCAGTATTTGCCAAAAGGGAATAAAAGAAACTGTGGGTGCCATATAAGCAAATTATGTTGTTTATTTGAGTAAATGTTTATGACAACTTTTTTTCTACTATTTGCTTAGCTTTAAGTGGCAGAGAAATAGTGGATGACATTAGAAACCAGACCAGAAAATTTAGACTGATATCCAGAATACAGATGAGGGAAAGAAAATATAAGTAAAACCACCTCTGCTTTACTTAGCCAAGACTTCCTTGTATGCATATCAAATTAATCATTCTATCATATCTCTTACAGAATGAATCAGATCAACTGATAAAAGGAAATGACTGAGTTCCGAAAAATCAAAACTATAGCAATAGCAGTTAGACTTATATACCGCTTCATAGGGCTTTCAGCCCTCTCTAAGCGATTTACAGAGTCAACATATTGCCCCCAACAACAATCCGGGTCCTCATTTTACCCACCTCGGAAGGATGGAAGGCTGAGTCAACCCTGAGCCGGTGAGATTTGAACAGCCGAACTGCAGAACTGCAGTCAGCTGAAGTAGCCTGCAGTGCTGCATTTAACCACTGCGCCACCTCGGCTCAGTGGTCAACCAACTTTGTTTAGGGTTCCATTACTGCTACAGGAGCATCATTACTATAAAGTCATTGTAATTTCTGTCTGATTTCACTTGGAGCCAATTTGCAAAGACTGGATTTTAATAGTTTTCTTTTCTTAGAACCATAGAAAACATAATGTTAAAATAGTACTCCAGACTAACCCATTTCATCCTTGCAATCTAGTTTAAATACTTCTCTAATTTCTCAGAATTATTGTTCAACTATTCTTATAAGTAACCTGAAGCCTGAATAGAATAAAATATAGGATTAATTTGGTTGTTAATTTTAATTTAATTTTTAAAATTTTATTCTAAATATCAGTTGGGGTTTTTTGGATACTTTATTTAATGTCCTTTTTAATTTTTGTAACATGTGTTTTCTTTTATGTTGTACACTGCCCTGAGTCCTTGGGAGAAGGGCGGCATATAAATCCAATAAATCTCAACCTTAACCTCAACAAGACCATACTGTAGCATTAACCGGCAAGGTCAAATTTGCAATTCTCAGTCATAGCCATGTAATAACAATGCAGATAAAACAATTATATAGCATTTAATACCCCATCTCTTAACAATGTCAGCTGATACATTTGCAATCTCCATTTATCTTTAAGCTTCTCCCTGCATGGTGATTCTACTCCAGGATAACCAAACCAAGTAAATCAGCATGGTTAATAATGTTGCGGATTATTAGAAAGTAGAGTCCAACAGAATGACACATTATTTTGATCATGAGCTCTATCTGGAACTTACTACCATGCTTCTCATATTGATGTTTCTTTTGCTTGTTATATTCTCATTTTGAACTTATCTTATTATGACCATAATACATGTAGTTTAGCTTGCTTGGTTTGTTTAGATTTAGAACATAGGTTTAAAAGATAAAGGTTCCCCTTGTATGTATGTGCTAGTCATTCCCAACTCTAGGGGATGGTGGTCATCTCAGTTTCAAAGCCAAAGAACCAGCGCTGTCTGAAGATGTCTCCATGGTCATGTGGCTGGCATGACTAAATGCCAAAGGTGCATAGGTTTGGAGAACCACATCTAAACCAGAAGTTGCTGCACTGCATTTCAATTACACTATTAAAATCTGGTCAAAAGATGGCTAAAAACTGCAGTGCTGCAATTTATTTATTTAAAAAATGGGCAACTCAAGTCTGGTAACTCATATTCTTACATTGCTACCCTTGAATCCTCCAAAGCCCCTCAATACCCCAAATTCCACACTTTTCAGAAACATCACCATGTCTTCCACATACATGGAACAAACTCTAGGTGCCTATCTCAGAGGAACTGCCCATTCCAGCAAAGAAGGAGCATAGATCAAGAGGTCATTTCCCAGCACTGTACATCTATGGATATAATCCCAACATTCTACAATGAGAAATGTACACATTCTGTTCCTTCATCCTTGATGACTTTTGAGCTAAGAAACCATATGAGCACTATGTTTCTGAAAAATTAGACATTTTATTACAACCATTTGACAAATTCGATATATGTGCATCATTCCCACGTGTGATCTCTCTGCATGAAAAGTAATCTCAGGAAGGACTACCTAGAGTGATTCATAATGGCATATGTTTTAAATATTTGATTGAGATTTGTATGAAGCATACAAATGGAATAGTTACCTTATCTACAGATCAAGATCCTGTGGCCAATCAGGATTGTTGAAGACTGGTTATTGTGCTATGTCTCATTCATACTACCATCAGTTTGAAAGTGGATGAGGCATAGTGATTACTTGACATAGTATTACAGCCCTTTTTAGAGCAATGAAAATATAGATGAGAAATTGTGATTCCTTAGAGGTATGTGTCTGACTCACAGTGATTTCTGAGTCAACTCCTACTAGTGGGTGACATTCATTAAATTCACCACTCATCACTGTTGTGCCCTTGAATCTCTTTACAAGCTAAAGTTCATGTTCATACAAGACACACTTCTAAAGAAAGGAAGCAATGGAAAGTAAAAAAAAAAAGAATTTAAAATGTGTCTTGCGTACTTCATGAAATATCTCTATGAACATTAGATAACTAAGATCAAAGTACTCCAGATTGAATGCAGACAGAAATCTTGACAAAATGAATGCTCACAAAACAACATTAGAGATAATCTGAGCTCAAGGTCAGGAAATGCAAATATCAGCTCCCTTGAATCCTGCACCATTCCAAGATGCAGTCAAAACCATGAAACTTCAGCAAGATCAACTTGTTCCAGGGTTAATTGGAACAAAGAATATAATAAATTATTTGTGTATGTATGTATAGCCATTGTATGTGTATGTTTCAGGGTTATTTCCAATGAGAAGAATTATTTCCCCGTGGAGATTCGCACCCTCACCACCCTCCAGACCTTCCGCACAGCCCTTAAAATCTGGCTATCCCGTCAGGCCTGGGGTTAAAGAATGTAACTCACCCCCACCCGAATGGTATGAATGTTGCGTTCTATTTTTAATTATGTATTGTCCTTATGTGTTATTGTTTGTATCCCCCTCCCTTTGAGTTGTAAGCCGCCCTGAGTCCCCCCAGGGAAAAGGGCGGCCTATAAATAAATTTTCAAATACTCAAATACTCAAATATTTTAAAAATTGTAATAGCTAAAATAAGTAAATACATTTATATGTTTTCCTGGAAAATAAGTCTATGATGAATACCATATGCAATGCAAGGAAAAGATAAGATGTGCTTATATCGTATTAATTGGAGCAAGGGCCTTTGTTGCACTCTCTACACTAATAAATCTAAGCCCATATTTTAGAAATCCCTTTAGAAAATAGTACAACTGGGATATTAAAGATGCTAACTCAGAAGCTTAGATAAAAGGGACATAAGTTAACCATAATGATGGCTCTTCTGATCCAACATTCCTGGAATTTTTTATGCCAGCCTTCCCCAGTTTGAGTTTCCTCATATGGTGTTAACTTCAGCTTATAGAATTCTCTAGGCAGCATGCTTACTGTTGAGAATTTTGGAAACTGACATCCACAGCATCTGGAGGGCACCCAGGTTGGACAAGCTTCTAGGAAGTATGAAAAAGATAAAATGTTTTAGGGAATTAGTCCAGTATTGGATCTGGATTAGTTCCACCGGTCTACAAATACTGCAAGATAATTTACAAACTTCAGAGAGCAAGATTAGGAAAGAACTGAACATTCTAAATTGCTATTGCTAGTTGCATAATGAGTTAGACCAGCTGTCTGACTTGGTGAAAGGCAATTCCCAATGTTCATCATGCAATACTGTTCTTTGCCTAGTGCAGGCCTAATCCCTAATCACTTTACGAGCAAGTACAGTGAGCATATGTCGATGTAATAAAATGATCACGAATAAAACTTTGGTTCTATTGAAACTAACAGCTGAAATATTTCAATTTACAGAGGGGAGAATCACATCTAAAATCCCTCCCAAATATCTGCTTATCTTCCATTCACTTGGTCACCTCACTAATCATTACTCCAACTCATATCTCATGCAGACTGTATTGTCTAGGTACAGTGTTCTCCAACCTTGGCAACTTTAAGACTTGTGGACTTCAACTCCCAGGGTTCCTCAGCCAGCAAAGCTGGCTGAGGAACTCTGGGAGTTGAAGTCCACAAGTCTTAAAGTTGCCAAGGTTGGAGATCACTGGTCTAGGAGAAACAGATGTTCAGGTGGAGTTGCATACATTATTATGTGATGAATGCTAAAGTACTGCATTCAGGTACTTGCTATCCTAAATATGAAAGCAGAAATACAGAACCAAGGCCTTCAGCAAACTTGACTGAAATCAATATTTTGAAGAATGATAGCTTTTCAACACTCTCTTACAGCAGAAGGTACTCCTAAAGCCACATTAGAAAAGCACATAAAATATAAAACAATTCCACCCGCTGCTCAAAGGGACATCCGACATTTCATGAAGTAAAATTAACATATGGGCTAATTTTCCCAACAATTCTCACCTCTGACTGCATCTTCCAAATTCTTCTTGGATCACATATGTGCCCTTTCCGCCATCATTTTCAACAGCATAAAAGAGTGAAAAAGGTCAGATGATAAACATTCAGGTATTATCACAGATTCTTTGTAAGTTGAAGTACAGTGTTTGATCTCTTCTAACTAGGAAATACAGTTCATTTGGAGCAATTCTGCATGGAGACAAAACAAAAACCATGTTCACTGTAGGAGAATGTCATAGCACTCTAGCACAAAAGGGAGACAAAATCTTCTAAAGCAGGCACAGGAAGATAATATGTAAAGCAACATGAAGATCATTTGAAGAAAGTATTCCACAATCATTATATAGAAACACCAACTTAGCCTTGAATGAAGCTGGAAGTGAAAAAGAAATGCAAGATTGTTCTCCCTTGATACTCTTTGGTATAAAAGGGGGAAATCCTCTGTGAAGCTTTCAGCATTGATGTCATTCCTTCAAGAGAGGTCAAGTCAGGAAACAGATTGTACAAGTACACCTAGAACTTTTCTTTATTATTGCAGGTACTGGAAAGCTAGTTTGCTCATTGTCGGTGCTGTTTCTTTTATACAATGGTTGCTGCTAGCTCCAAAAAAGACATACAAGTGCATGCACAGAATGCACGCATGTGTGCCTATTAAAAATATCTTTGCATTTTTAAGTGCTCTCAATATGATCAAATTACAGGAAATATGCGGAAAGACCACATCCTGAACCCCAACAGATTAACACACTTCTAACAGCTTTTGCATTTATATACCTACAAAGCATTAGCAACACTTGTCTTAAAGCACTCAGATGCATGCAGTAACCTTTACATTACCTGCTCAGAAAACACAACATAGCATAATGCTTGTTGAGCTTACCTATTACCCACATAATAACTTTCCCACAGCAAAGAATGGTTTAAATATATCAGGAAGCATGCTTCTATAACCAGTCTTCTTTTAACTTATTGTTTAACTATAACTTTCCCTCAATGTTCCACTACCACATCACTCCAATAGAAGCAGAAACATGACTAGTCTTTCCTAAACTAGCAAAAGCTTGAAGAAAAGCAATGTCTCAAAGGTCAAAATAGCATCTCGGTCACAGCACATAAAACATTCAGAACATTCAAAAATACGTTCAATATGGGAAGTTTTGCTCCAACTTTTAAAAAAAAAACCTCTTGAAAAATGCATGTTTTCTTTCAACTCAGAACATTTCAAGATTGGGATGTTTTGTGGTCAAAACGTCTTGCTCATCCCCAAATATCTTGTCCATACTTTAGTTATAGTTTGTCCTTGAAAGCAGCTGAATTAACAATTTAGTTAATATATGTTGTTTATTGACATTGTTTTAAATATTCCAACAAATGCTACATTCTTTTTCTGCTAAATCTCTTCCAATGCTCATTGATATACAGAATGTTATATGTATTTTTGCCAGGTTATAATTAATTCCTATTGTTTTAAAACTGCTGATGGAGAAAGGAAGAGATAAATTTCAAAGCTTTGTTCAGATCTCTTGGTTTTCTCTTCCTTTTCCTTTGCTCATTTAATTTCATAGTAATTGTATTACCTCTTTTGCTTTGGGGGATGTAATCTAGCTAGGAAGGGCAATCAACAAATATGTTTAATACCAAAATGCCAGAAGTCTTTTTATATATTTAGAGAAGTGTTAAGAGAGAAAAAGAAGCTATGTCTTCACCAACTCCAACTCCATAAGAGAGTTTATGTGCATATAAGTGTATGGGGTGTCTATATCTGGGGAATATGCATTCATACTTTGATTGTGGGGTTTTCTACAGGCATTTAGTTAACCATCATGGAACTGGAATGCTGGAAAATAAAATTAGTCTGGTGCCGCCGAACTCTTCTTATTTTCTTATTACTAAGACAACTGTAATTAATCAGTGGAATAGCTTGCCTCCAGAAGTTGTGAATGCCCCAACACTGGAAGTCTTTAAGAAGATGTTGGATAGCTATTTGTCTGGAATGGTATAGGGTTTCCTGCATAGGCAGGGGGTTGGACTAGAAGACTGCAAGGTCCCTTCCAACTCTGCTATTGTATTGTATTGTATTGTATTCAGGGACATGCAGTCACTAGAGGCAAGGGAGGCGGAGCCTCACCAATCTCCTCAGGAAAAATAAAGAAATTTAAATATTTTTTA